AGACCACGTATAGGTCAAGGTCATACCGATGGATAATTATGTTTATTAGTCACCTCCTGCGTTCTCCCACGCAGGACAAAACCAACGATTTCCTCGCTTCGTCCGACCGTCCGTGCAGCTCGGTTGTGATTGCTTACGTAGGAAATTGCCTGAGGGTCGACTTTGAGCGACTCTTAGTTTTCCAGGACTCTGCTCCATGGAATTGGTTAGTAAGTGGTGCTTATGGGAGATATTTTATCTGAGAGTACAAAATAGAGGGCCTAAGAAATGTCACGAAGCTGTCAGTTATCCCTTCTGTGGTGTTGGACCGTTTCTGGAAGAAGGAAAAACTCGATGGCAGAATGAAAGGTTGTGACTTACACGCAAAGTTTCCTCTTTTTTTATATCTTGACGCCGACTGGCGCTGGCTGGATATTAATATCTCTATGCTTGGATATCGCTCGCCCTCCAGGGATTTAATTAGCCACTAAAAGCTTTCCTATTCTGGGGGATGCGGCTTACGAAATCGATTATTCGGCGGCAGATCTGTGGCAATGCGAACCTACGGCTTCTCTGTCCGCTGTTGGAAGTTCGCGTCTGGTTAAAGCGAGTTCTACCACGGAGTTGTGCCAGCAGGACCCACGCCTGGGGAATAGAAAATTACATAATAAAGGGATTCGTGATTTGTACTCGTCATTAGAACTCCGGAGGTAATACCTGGTTCGAATCTCTGTAATGGAAAAGTGCCGTGTTTTCTGTGCGGTACGGATTGGTTTATTGAAAGTTATTTAGACGAGCTTTAACGTTAAGACTTCTTTCTTAGCTGCATTTATCGTCGCCGTGCCTTATCTTCGACGTACGTTTACCAGAAGGACGAGCGGACACTGCCTCGGAACCTTGACGGTAGAAAATTTACCTCTGTTCTCTGTGTGTTTCTCGACTCCCATGCTCTGAGATGATCCGTTTCTTAGTGACGCCGTGTGGTGGGCCCACGGATTGCGACGGCAGGTGGCAGGCACCTCCTCCAGTCTGTATTATTCAACGCAGTTCGACTGCAGTGCTTGACGGAACAGTCACATACAGGGTGTTCTGAAAAAGAACAGTTACAGCGCAGTTGTAATTCCGACACTCGGCCACTTTAGTCCCAACACCTGCTATGCAGAATCTAATTCTCCCGAGAACATTTTGAGTAGGACTGCCAATACTGAGTTCGGTCGACATCCGTTCAGTTGATGCACAGCCCCCCCCCTCCCTGCGTTCTGAGATGTGATTGGCCCTTCTGGCCACAGGTTTTAAGCAGAGCCAGCAGGAACCATGATGCTCCTGGTGGTTATAGTACGTGCCGTGCTTTTGTGTGAGGGCCGATGAATACGTCGCTCCACCCTGCATTGTTCCGCGGCGCAATGCAGTTCTCGTTATCAAAGACAGTTTCCATCCTCGATGGCAATACGTCACATCCGTTTTTGTACAACAGTGCGCTAATTTGTGGTCCATTGACCTCGGTTCCCATTTGCGCACGTCGCAAATTCGATGGCGTAGTAGTGAAAAGAACTTCCTGAGTTAGGTTAGGTTAAAAAAAGACATAAGTGACTGCCCCTGTAAGTTCGATCAATCGAAATGTTACCGTGAGGGGGGGGGCGATTTCGCGGTGTCACTCAGTGACAAGGCTCTTCAACTAAGTCATAAACTGAACAAAAAGTGGAAATCGTTATCACGTTACAATTGCGTCCAAAGCGGAATGACAATGTGACCGCGTCCTTTGACAACCGATTAAGCCATTCCATTTGAGCAGTTAGTTTATTTACGTGAAGTCTCGACTAATCTGTGTTTAAACTGTGTTAGCGGATAACTACGACGTGCAGAACCTTGTAATTTTAATACCAACTTCTGTCGTAAAAAATGACCTTTGGTGTAGAACCGAACTGTATTTTAGACGTGTTTGTGATATCTGAGTTTGCGCAGATGGTTTG